TTAATAATTAATTAATAATATATTACCTGTCTATGAACTGTTAGTTCCTTTTTGAAGGCTTATTCAAATTCCAAAGAAGGTTTCTTTGGAATTCCATAACTTTTTGCTTCTGTCTAACATTGAGGAATTAAACTATCTCATCTCCTACTAAGCCTAGTGGTGAGCAAGTCTTACTTTCTTTACCATAGCTGTCCTATGGTAGAAGGGCATAGAAGTCAAGGCCATACAGATTTTACAGCCTCTGCATTGGTTGGTAGAGTGACTTGTACAATCACCATTCTTAAGATGAATGTTTACTGACTACTCTCTATAATTTGCCTGGCACTGAATTAAGGCCATGGAAAACTGATAATATCCTTGGTTGACTTTAGTGGAAGATAAATTAAGAAAAAATTTTAATTGGTTTTTATAAGTATATGGAGTGGTAACGCAGGAAGGGAAAAACCAGATTTTGGTGCATAGTGAAACCTTTTTCAAGGAAAAACATTCACGAATCATTCGATGAAGGATGAGTTGGGGAAGGATGGTGATCCTGGAGTGGGAAGAATGTTCCAGACAGAGTGAAGAGCAATTGCAAAAGCTCACAATCACCCACAAGCATGAAAGTTTAGCAAGCTGAATGTAGTTCTGTGTCACTGGGATCCTGTCCTGGGGAGATAAAGCCTTTGATGTGAACTGAGGCTAGATCGCTAGATCGCGAAGAGTCTCATTGTAAGTTCTCTCCACATTTGACTGTTCTTTAAACAACTGAGTATGCTCTTACTTTTAATAGTTTGTGATTTAAATTTCTTAAGTTCACTTAGATATTTTTAGAAAAATAGTGCTTAATTATTCTATTTTCCATTAAGAAATGGATTTGGATGTTAAATAAAAATCATAAAATATATTCTACTTTTCCTCTTGAAATTGGGACTTCAAAGGCTCCAATTTTGCATTTTCAGTAACCACGTATACTTTTGCTCTTGGGAAAAGAGTGTTGATACAAACCAGCTGTGATGCTTCGCTCTCACTTGGAAATTAAACTCTATCAGATCTGAATTTGGTTTACAATATCTATTTTAATGGCCTACTCAGCTTTTATGTTAAACATATTCTGTATTATTTCTGAGCTTAAGTAACACGTCAGCTAGAGGATACAACATTATAGACATTTTAAAATAATGTTATACATAACGTTTGTTAAATTATATCTTTTCTCTACATCTTATTTAGAAGAAGTTAAAATGGAATTATGCAAGAAAGATAAAACCTTTTTAAATTTGACCTGGTATTTCTGGCATTAGAATCTAGTATGGTGGGAAGGAATGTAAAGATAGGTGCAATAAACATGAAGCCAATTCTTTCAGACTGTTGAAGGCCACAGAGAAAAAGTTATATTCAAGTTGAGTTTTGTGTCTGAAAACTGCAATAAAGTAATAACCACTTTTCTATCTTTTACCCACATCTCAAATTTACCTCATTCTTTCATATTTTGTTATTCTGCATAAGACATGGGACCAGAGAAATTCAGTTAACATCAGAAATCATATCCGTTACCAGCAAAAGATATATATAAATCAGGAATGGACTGAAGAATGAATATTATTTGGAATTATTCTTAGTATATGAATTTGTCATCTGGCATGCATTTTCTTTTAGACATTTTGTTCTTTCCTAGCGTTAGGATAGGGACACAATTATCAGAAGAATAGGGATTTATAAATGAGAAGCAAAGAGAATTTGAAGGAAGGTTTTCCACTTGGTATTTATAAAATATCAAATATCTGCATAGTTGCATAATTATGAAAACTGCATAAGAAGTAGTGAGTTCGGCATTGCATCTTCAGAAAGCACTAATGCCAACAGCTCATCTCCTGTTCTTTTTTTTTTTTTTTAAAGGGAACATCCTAAAAAAGAGTAAACTTGGGATACTGTTGCCTGGGAGAAAAATGTAGACTTTAGTTAGAAACTAGCTCAAAAGTCTATCTTGGTCACAGCCTTCAAGTCTGATCGGAATCACAGCTCCTCTCTTGAAAACCTATTAAAAGTAGCAGCAAGGTTAATCAAGAGCAAGCTGAGTCTCTTCGGAATAATTCATGCTGACATTGAAATGTGTGCTGCCACAGTCTGGCTCTGTGGACTTAGAGAGGCTGCTATTTGCCCAGCACTGGAGAGGGAAGGAGCATAAGCGGACTCACAGTTCGGGATGTCGGAGGAGCTGAAGGACTTGTTAGGGAAACCATCTCCTGGATTGCTAGTCGCAGCTTTAAGCGATGCAGGGGATTGCTGATCCCGATTTCTCTCTGGATCTCAGTGTCTGATAAAGCAGACATGATGGCTCCACTTTTCACATTGGCTCGGCAGGCTGCTACGTACCAAGCAGGCATTCCCAACCAGAGCTGTTGGATAGGGAAAAAACACACACACAGATTATACTAAGAGTTAATAGTGTCTCTTAGTGCTAGGCACCATTCCAAGTACTTTACACGTATGAACTCTTTTACTGCCCAAACCCCAAAAGACAGATGCTATTATTATTTTCCCCAGATGACATAGAGGCACAAAGGCATTAAGCAATTTATTGAAAAATATCAGCTAGGCAGTGATGGAACTAAAGATTTGAAATTGGGTCTCTAGGGTGTGCAATTTAACAACTATTTTATATTATTAGGTTAAACATAATAGCTGCACATCACCAAATCCACCCCTGCCCCCTTGGATTTAAGGACAAGAACAGCCACAAGCTGCATTTGGTAAAGGCTCAATCGACTTTGTTTAATGCGTGAATTCAATTTATCAATCTCCTTTGGAATTCTGAGGGCAAAGAAGTTCTGTCACAGAAAGAGACAGCTCTACCACCTCCAGCCATGTGATTTTGATCCAAGCCTGTATTGTAGTTAAGCCCCATTTCTCACATACCTACCTATAGCATGCGATAGTTGTGTGAACTTAAGTTGATGTTCTGCATGGACAAAGTTTTGGAGGATAAAATGATGTGCTAGAGGGAGAGACTGAAGTTACAAACATCTGGAAAACTTTAGCTAAAGAGAGTAAGAAAATGAATAATGCATCAGAACTTAGGGATTCCAATTTTTCAACTTTGCTATGATGCTCTTAAAAGACAATGGAATCGGTAAAGAGTGTCTGCATACATCTTAAGCACTGGGTGAATGCCAACTCACATGGATGGTGTTGTAGCATTTGAATTACGCACATTTGAAAAAGGAATATTCTCTCCATTTCCCCTTCCCCCCCATCATTAGCTATGAATAAGAAGCAGGGCACAGGCAAGTGAGCAGTTTAAATCTTGGTCTTTAAATGTCCAAAATAGTGATTTTTTGGACTATTTTATTTGTTGATATGAACAGATTGAGCAAAAAGAGTGAGAAGTGAGAATAAGAAAAAGAAGACAAGCTATAAATCAGCAAACATCAATGCCCAGAGCTCTGGACCAGAAGGCTGGGCTCTAATTGCTTCACTGTCACTGGTGAGTCCTGGAACTTCTCTAAACCTTGGCCTTATTTTCTTCATTTGTAAAACAAAGAGAGTCAGCTTTATTACTTCTAGGCACTGTGGTAGGCAGCTTCTAAGATGGATCCCAGGGATTTCCTCCTGATATTTCTGCTTTTGTGTAATCCTCTGCCTTTCAGTTTGGACTGAAACCAGTGTCTTATATCTAATGAATAGACTATTGTGGAAGCGATGGGATGCCACTTTCCAGATGAGGTTACAAACAGAGGGTAGCTTCACTCCTGCTAGTCCTCTCTCCCTCCCTCGTCTCAGTGCTCTAGCTCTGGGGGAATTCAGCTGCCATGTTGTGTGCAGCCCTGTTGGAGATACCCACGTGGCAAGGAACAGATGTTTCTGGCCAGCCACTAGCAAGGAACTGAATCATGACTGTGAAAACCAGAGTCAGCTTGGAAGTGGATTCTCCCCACATCAAGCCTTGAGATGCCTGCCAATCTGGCTGACCCCTTGATTGCAGCCTCGTGAGAGACTTTGATCAGAAACCCAAGCTAGATTCCTGACCCACAGAAGCCATGAAGAAGATAAATGTTACGTTTTCGGATAATTTGTTACATGGTAATAGATAACTAACCTAACCAGATATCCTTTTATTTAAAAAATTCTGTCGTATGAGGAGGCTAACTTGTCTCTATAAGGGAGGCAGACAAACAAACCGAAAGCCAAATCTTTGAGTCACTGTGGCCTGGGCTGTGATTAGAGATAAAAGACAAGGGAGAGGGGCTCTAAGTATAGCCCATCACTGAGAAGTTCGTACCATCTTCCAGCAGGTGCGGCACAAGGTATTGACCTCACCTTGACAGGCACCGTTAGACATGATGGAAGATGGGACTTCTTAGTTTATAAACTCATGTTGTGCAAAATAAGTAAACATCTAAATATACCTTCACTGGACTCTAATGATTTTTCACCCCCTCTTTCTAAGATATTTAGATTTCTATACTGAATAATATTACCCAAATGCTTGCCAATACACTATTATGGGTATCATCCCTAATTAGACTTTCAAAAAGTTTCTGGTGTTGATAAATGGTGTGTGAAGCATCAGTCTTATGTTTGCACATCATTCTTACCAGGCTGTGCACACGAGGAGTCACTAAAGGAGGTGGAAAGTTAAGAGCTCTCCGTCATTGGATCACCCCGCTCACTCATCTTATTTATTCCATTTTATAATTTGAGTCACTTTAGGAAGCACATTATGAGCAACTTCTGTGTGCTCAGGATAGGTTTAATTAGCACAAAATTTCACTGCCTGTCATTTCCTAGCTCCTTAATGTCATAAAGCTTTTTTCATCTAAGGCTTTGTTCATCACTTGCCAAAATAGCAGCTCTCTGTCAAACTGCAGCTCATTTTATTGGAGTGACACTGAACAAAAAAACTGCTATCAATTTTAAAGTGTGCTTTCTTAAGCATGTTGCCTTATAATTGATTTTTAAAGTATCATAATTTTAAAAGCACATTTGGAAGAAGCAGCTCTGATCACTAATATGCTGAAAATCCCCTGACTGATATGAGAAAATAAAATAAAGCAAGACCAGGCTTCTTTCACTCAGTCTAAGAAAAAATGCAAAGTATGTCTTTATATCTATGTATATAAGACTAGTTTTTAAACTAAAATGGGTTTTCATATTTCCTCATTGATTAATTTGTTAGCTCTGGATATGATAGGATGATGAAAGTCAGTGATTTCATCATCTCCAACCACTTAAAACAATGGTTCCAATAGCCTCTGCCAGGCAAGAAAAGCCTATTTTCTTCTCTGCCCTGACATTGGCATCTCCCGGCAGCTGCTAGCAGCCCACATTAGAGAACCAAACGGAATAGGCAGTGAGCACTATTAATACGTGGTACGAAGGGGTCTTTTGTGATCAAATGTGTGTTTCCTCCACTGTCCCAGTCTGCTCCTGCTGCCCCCCACCCTGCTCAGGTGCTGTTTTTTTTTTCCCCCCCGGTCCCAGTGTTCTGTAGAAAATGCTGAATGTAGTTCTTGTTTCATTATAACACTCACTTCAGACCCAGAGGAGAACAAGGGGCTAAGTATTCTCTTGCTTTATTCCAAGTGGCTAAACCTAGCTGGCCTCTAGGCTTTAGAGAATTAGGTTCTAGAATTAATTTCCAAGCAAAGGAATGGTTCTCTGTGCAATCAGCTGACAGTGATCTCTTGGAAAACACAGAAGTGTTGAAGATAGAGATGGCTCTTCTCTGTAACCTGCTGATGAGGAAGAACTCTGGACTGATGGATGGGGACAGATGTTTTCTTGCGACAATAGATGTGTGGCTCAATAGCTGTCTTCTCTTTCTCTGGACGTGAAGATGGTGAGATTTAGAGAAACTTCCTTTTATCCCACTAGGTGCTTCCTTCTGCCCCAATCACAAGAATGTATCAGAGTAAGATCCAAACAATGCCCATAGGCCCCTGGATAAAGCAAATATTCCCTTTATAAGCTACTCCAGGCTACTCGAAAGCTGTGACTTCAGGAACCCATCCTTACCTGTATCTAGAAAAAGTATCAAACTGAAGTGATGAATTTAAGAGCTTTCTGGTTTAATTCTCTTACCTCCAGCCATGCAACCACAGTGGGCCCATCCCACTGAGCAAAAGGTAATCCCTTCCTCCGAGCTTCTTCTAGAAGTTCATGCCTGAAGTACACAGCAGAGATTATTAGTTATGTAGCATTGAAAAAGACAGTGGTGACTATTTTTAATGACAATATTTTTAAAAAACCAATAATCCTTTACAAACTTTTTCTGAGATAATACAGAATAACAGAATTCTTTCTTCCTTTTAGTAATACATGGAAATCACCCACTGATTTTATGAGTGAAACACGGACATCTAAAAATAATTTCTCCCAACATTTATTCACAAAATTCAAACATTAAATGTTAATGGACTAAAAAGCTGAATTCTATTATCAGCAAATATCTTATCTTTTTAACAAGAAAATAGCCCACATATGCATATTCAAGCATACATCATGGGATCTAAATGAGGCTTCTTCCATCTGCCTTGCTCACTTCTCCTTACGATTTCAATGATAGAGAAAATGTCTGTATATAGAGGCAGTAGATAAATTTGGTTATTTTAGTCCCATTCAAGACATGTGCTTCATTTTAGTATGCTCTCCAGGTCCAGGTAGCTATATTCTGAGTTTTTTTTTTTTAATCTAGTCTATGAAATTACCTCTCATTTAAAGAGAACTCAGAGGGAAATTAACTTCTATCACTAGAAAGCAATGTAAGGTGTGAAATTCAATAGTACATTCCTTTTCATTTATAATCACTCCTGCTTTTAATGAAAATGAAACACCTCAATGACAACAAATGGTTGTTTCTGATAGAAAAATGTTGTAAAGAGCCTTGACAAATGCATTATTAATCACTGTCTCTACTACTGAGCCTTATAACTGACATCCATTTACAAAACCAATTTGAGTCGTTCATTGTTGAAATAGCAAATATGTGTTGAAACTCAAATTGATATATACCTGACCGGGACTATACTGGAAAATATATTCTCTGTTCCTTAGTATGTTTTGATCTTACACACAAATGATAAAAACGTAGTATATTATTTGCTCTTTTGAATGTGTTATCTTTCACGCTTTTAGGAATCTATCAGTAATATCATATATGAACTCCAAAATGAAGCATTTGATTATTTCCCACCATCAAACAATCAATTGCTTATTATAATATGTTAAGATACAGTTGGCCTTTGGACAACACAGGGGCTAGGGGAACCAACCCCCCCGCACAGTAAAAAATCTGCATTGCACTTTTGACTCTCCAAAAACATAACTACTAATAGCCTACTGTTGACTGGATGCCTTACTGACAACATAAACAGTAGACTAACACATACTTTGCATGTTATATATATTTTATATTGTATTCTTATAGTAAATTTAGAGAAAAGAAAATGTTATTAAGAAAATCATAAGGAAGAGAAAATACATTATAATACTGTAGTGTATTTATCGACGAAAATTCTCATATGAGTGGGCCCGAACAGTTCAAACCCACAGTGTTCAATGTCAACTGTATATAACCGAAAATGCTTTTCAGTGAGAACTTCTATATTTGCAGTGGATGCTGCCAACAAATAATCAGTGTGAAAAAAGAAACAAAGAGGCAAAACAAAAACTGAAGTTAGAGCAGCTGAAGAGACATATAAATCAACTGCTGTTTCATTTGAGGGACTAGCAAGGAAAGCACAGGTCAGTTCTACCTGTCAGTTATTCAGCACCTGTGACGGGGAAGAGTGATGGGTGCCCTGAATCCAAAGTGAAAACTAGAGGGGCTTCCTCACCTGGATTGCTGTACCATCCCCCATTCCCTCGGGCTTCCCAACATTCCTTCATTGAAAAACAGACTCAAGGAGCCTAGTCTCACTGCTACTGGTATTGAGAGAAAGGGGTTGAAGGGTCAACCAACCAACCATAAGGTACTCATTGTAAGCACCTGTTGTGAGCTTAGACCTGTGTCCCATGTGAGAATACAGGCATGGCCCCAGTTTGTCACAAGATCCCCGGTTAGATAGAAAAAGCAAACACATGAACTGTCCAAAAACACAATATAGTACACAAACAGATGCTAAAACTCGGTGATGCACGTTCTGAGCGGGAGGATTTTGGAATATGGGTCAAAAGCAGTGGAAACACTTGGTGAAGGACTGTGGCAACCAAGCTGGCTTTGAAGGGATTGTGGAAAGGCGTTCTAAGCAGGATAAGCAGTAAAGGTAGGGGGTCAGAGGAAGGACTCGGCATGGGATACGTGCAAGCCAGTGGAGAGCAGGCCTCCAGGGAGCTGAGGAGCCTTATTCGGAGTTGTAATGTTATATCCAATAGGGCAAGAAACACTTTCAGTGATGTGGCAGCTGAGTGGCAGTGAAGGGGAAGAAACAGACATTTACCGCCGTTTTTTGCTACATTTAGTAAAAAGGCAAGTAAATAGGCGCTCACCACCTAGGAAGCACATAACATCGTCAGAGGTGAATTACAGGAGTTGTACAAAAGCCATTTTTAAAAGCTGGAACACTTTAATTGTGAAACTTCTGACTAGTTCTCTAAAAATACTACACCACACAAGCCAGAGTGAACCTGTTCAAACTTGAGTCAGATACCGTAACTTCTCTGCTCACAACCCTCCAATCACTCCTTGTCTCCCTGAGAATAAAAGGCAAAGCGGCAGTTAGGATCTACTCTCCTACCCCTTCAACTCTCTGATTCAGCTGCTACCTCACACAATGATGCTGCCTCTTCGCTGTTCCCTGGAAACGGCGCAGGCCTTTCAGCCTCAAGACCCTTGTACCCACTATTCTCTCTGTGTGGAATGCTTGTGCCCTCTGTCTCCACATGGCTCACTCCCTCACTACTTTTAATATTTACTCAAATGTCACCTTCTCTGAGTGTCTCCCCCCTCCCTCCTTCGACCCCCACCAGACATTCTTTATCCCTGTTCCTTGATTTATTTCTCTCCACAGCACTTATCTTCGAACACAGAGTATCATTTACACCTCAGTCTATTATATCCCAATCAAATATAAGCTCAAGGAGGACCGATGTTTTCACATATTCTGTTTAGAGATAATTAGAAGCATCTAGAACAAGGTCAGGCACAGACAAGGTGCTCAATATATAGCTGTGAATGTTGAACACGTCTGCCAGTGTTCGTAGTTAGGTACTTCTTGTTAGAGTAAACTGAGCCCCATAACGGATATATTTTTTTGTAGTCCAAGTATCTTTTTCTATTTTGGATTACAACACCATTCAAAGTTTCATTTCAAAAAAAAAAAAAATCCTTAAATTCTGTTTCCTCTTGAGCCAATTTGTCAGAGTAACACCCACTCTGGCTGATCCCGAGTGTGATCTGGCATGGGATGGGATCCCTGACAGCAGTGTGGTTAAGACGCAATCCAATGTGCTCAGATAGTTCTATTTTCTGTCTTAATGGAAATTTAATTGCACAATGGTTTGTGAAATCTTTGGGCAATTTGGCCCTTGAAAAAGTTTTCTTTGTTTTTGCTTTGTTTGTTTTGCTTAAATCGCGAACTCTTGTAACCACAATAACTTTAGTAAGAATACGCTAAGATAATAGGAAAAGGGAGCTCTAGTTCACTGGATTCTGTCCTTTGGACCCCAACTGGCAGGGCTGGAGCCCACGTAAAGGCCTTTGAGCTGAAACAGGGGAGAAACTGCCAGATAAGGGTTGGAAGGCTGGGTTTTGCAGCAGAACTGAGTGCTACATGACTTTAACTCCAGATGCATTTTCCCTTAATCTGAGGGTAGAATCAACTGTGTAAGAAATGCACTGAAATTCTCAAAGCAACATTACATTTAATTCTTCTCAATCTTTTTTTTAAAGATTTTTATTTATTTATTTATTATTTTTTTATTTTTTTTTTAAAGATTTTATTTATTTGAGAGAGAGAGAATGAGAGAGAGCACATGAGAGGGGGGAGGGTCAGAGGGAGAAGCAGACTCCCTGCCGAGCAGGGAGCCCGATGTGGGACTCGATCCCAGGACTCCAGGATCATGACCTGAGCCGAGGGCAGTCGCTTAACCAACTGAGCCACCCAGGCGCCCTTTATTTATTTATTTGACAGAGAGAGAGATAGCGAGAGCAGGAACACAAGCAGGGGGCGTGGGAGAGGGAGAAGCAGGCTTCCCCACGGAGCAGGGAGCCGGATGCGGGGCTCGATCCCAGGACCGTGGGATCATGACCTGAGCTGAAGGCAGACGCTTAACGACTGAGCCACCCAGGCGCCCAATTCTTCTCAATCTTAAAAAACTCTGCACTATACAGAATTTATAAGAGACATATATCTGGGTGTATGGCATGAGAAAGAAGCAATGTTAAAGAACATAATACAGGCAAAACTATAATAACTGGAAATCACTGAGTTTAATACATTGTGATTTTCTAACAGATAATATTAAGGGCCAACATTAATTGTATGGGGGCATGCTTCTTCTTATGAGATATTTTGGTGTCACTGACAGAGAAATAGTGACCTGAACTGTTTAGGAAATACTAAATAAAACACTGATTTGTCACAAACAGGCATTTTTAATATACTGGTGTTCTCTTTTGAATCAGTCCGTGTGTGGAAAGGTATGAATTTTTTTCTGTACTCCAGAGTCAACATTTCAAAAGGTCAAGTGACAGTTCTTCCAGAGCAAGGCTGTGATCAACTTTCCCTAGTATACGTGTGAGTCTGGAAATTGCTGTCTTTGTTTTTAGACCTGAAGAAATAGTTTTGTTTTTCTCTTTTTTTTTTCTCTCCAGACAATCTAATATTCAACCATCTTTTCCCAAAGGATAATTTATATATCACTATAGTTATGGGTATGCATTTTTGTTTTAAGATGTAGACTAGATTTTAGAGGATATCAGTACCTTTTAGAAAATCTATCGGGCTCAGGGCTGTCATCACCTGTGTGAAAACTCAAAGAAAAGTACTAATTGTACTGAAGAAGAAAAACTTCTGAATCGTTGAGTGTTTTCAAGAAACACATTCTCATCTACAGGGAAGAATGCTATTAGATTCCCCCAAACGTGTCAGACTCTCTTGAATTAGGTGTCAATGAGTTACTGTGACTGGAAAGTGACACCTCAGGAGGCCCAACAGGTGAGAA